GACAGAGCTGTAGAATGGCACAGAAAATGGCTGCTGCTGTTCATTATTTCTAAACATGATTCTTCTAAAAATTACCAATATTAATCAAATTAATTGACAGTCTGGTAGATCAATGAAATGTTACATAAAGAAGAAACTATATTTTATAAGAAATACAAAAATTGTATTTTAACAATATCAGGCCCTGTGCACTCACAAATGGAATCATGATGTTTATCTCAGGGTTTGACCGTTTTTGCACAAGACTGTGTTGCACAAGACTAGCCGTCTTCAAGTGGGTACTCTTCATAAACAGGTAGCACAATCCCATGGGCCCTTGATGGAACAGACGGAGCTGTGGCTGTACTGTAACTGTTAGAAACAGCTAAGGGTATGACCATGAGACCATGCAAGGCCATATTACCTCATCAGCAATTAACTGACATCATACTGGGCCAGGATACATTATTATTACTGATATACTGTATATCTTGAAACCAGATTTATTTTTTTTAAAAAGAAACAGTCTTTGAAAACAATTGCCTAGGTATTGGGGCAACTAGACCCTTTTGTCAAGGTCAGAAATACATTGGCTTAGTAGATGAAATGAGGTGCTACAGATGTCCTGAGGAGAAACAGATGCTGTCTTATGTAGCCCCCATCCAGCTAAGGGAGAGACAGTGAAGCCATTGATGCCCCTTGGTGGGAACGCAGTACATGCGAAATAAATAAATTACAGTACATTGATGGGCGTCACTGTTAATCTGTCTTGAAGCTGCTGTCAAGAAAGATAGAGAACAGGGGCTGGCAAACTGAAGTTGTTAAAAGAAATCCTTGCTTAGGATGCTATGGGTAAAAGCGAAACATTAAATCTACTGAGACCTCTTTTGCAGATTGTACAGAGCTGTATTGGCTAGACTTTATCTCAGTAAGAATCCCTCACCCAGAATGCCTTACCATAGGTTTTTAGCAACAAAACACATTACTGACTTGTTATTAATTTATTTGACACAATTGCCTTTTGCTTTTTCATCCTTTGCCATGTTTTGGATTAGGTGGCTAGTTTTCTTACATGTAAATAGACAGTGACATGTTCAAATAATTTAAATTAAAGTAATACTATGAACACAGTATATTGTGGCAGAGTGCTGGTATATACTTTTAAAAGTCAGTATGTTTTTATGGCTCACTGTGGCCACATACTGTAAAACATAGCCCAAAAGCACTTTTTTACTGTGACTCTTCCACAGTGCTAAACAGAAATGACTGGTTTACTCTTTTAATGTTAAACTCAGAATGCTATTGAAAAAGCACCTACTGTATGGTGACCTTGATTAACATTTTTGTCAGACACATTTTTCAGCATGGACTGTTTCTGTACAAAATCTAAATACTCAGAGATATAATGCTTTTTCAGACCAACATGAAAATATAAAAAATGTGCAAGAAAATCATTATATCTTAATTTATGTTTTTTTTTAAATAGTATACTTTGTCCATAATATTGTGCAGAAGATTTATTTGAGTATTTTAGATAAATTCAATAGCATAAATCTTCAAAATAATGTTTACTTACACACACATTTCAGTGCGTTACTGTTTTTGTAGTTACAAGTTTTGCCATATTGGATGTTTTACCATGGAACAAACTGCTCCCTCCACAATAAATGTAATGTATAAATAATACAGTAAAACTGGACTTCTACATTCATTAACATGATTTTAGCTGTCAAAGTGAAATTTTGCATTCTTAACACAACTCGCCTGGTGTGTAAAAAATATGCCATTTGTGAGGTCTACCAACTGATTCCACCAAATTAAACTCGGTAACATACCATGATGAAAATTGTGAATAAACAAAAGGCTGTTGTATTGTCAACCATAAGTAACCTGAGTCATCTCAAGTTACAGTAAATGTACAGTACTGCTTACTGTATGTAATTGAATAGTAGCGGTTATACTATCTTGAAACATGATCTTGCCTTTTTTTCAATACTGAATATACTCGGAAATACCAGGTTTCTGCTGGAAGAATTTTAGTAGAGCAGTAGATTGTACAAGGGCCATGAATATGAACATGGTTCTCCCCATACTTGAGCATAAAACCCAAACCAACTCAGTGTTGTGGCAGGTTACACTGCTTTATAGTAGGCGACATCTTCTGAACAGAAAATAAATCAGGTCAATTGCTACTTGTGGTCATTAAAGTTCAGTCCGTCTGAGTAAGAATGATAACCCTTGTGTCCTGTTTGAATTCTAGTCAGGCTTTCATTATCACCTGTACTAAACTTTATTTTGGCAGTTTGAGAGTGTCAGCTCAATGAGTGATTGCGTTATTATTAACTTCATTATTATTAATAATAATAACAGCAGTAATTTACAAAGAACTGATATCACTATTCACCTTATATACAGTTTAGCCTGTCAGAGGGTGCTACACTTTAGTGATGGAACAAATAAGTTTAAAACTGGGACAGTGGGTGAAAATCAATAGACAAATCAATATTTAAACAAACATTGGTGCTGCTATTGTAATAATATCATCTCTTATACAAACCACCTAAAAATTGAGGTCCAGTGGAATGCTAGATATATGAAATGTCCTCACCGTGCTCGTGAGCCTGGTCCTCATCATCCTCGTCCTCCTCGTCATCCTCCTCTTCATCCTCCTCTTCTTCCTCCTCCTCCTCCTCCTGTTCCCCTTCCTCTCCCTCCCCTCTTTCCACCTGTCCCTCTTCCTCCTCCTCGCCTTGCTCCTCGTTGTCCTCAGAGTACTCTTCTTCCTCTTCTTCCTCTTCCTCGTCTTCCTCCTCCTCTTCCTCCTCCTTCTCATCCATCTCCTCTGTGCCATCTGTCTCGTAACACTCATCTACTGAGGAGTTGTCCATTCTCACTATAAATGGCTTCCTCTTCGATGCTGGCTCCTGGGACTGTTTGTCTTGCGTTTTTCTTTTCTTTGCCAAAGGACAGCCGTAGACACTGGGATGCAAAAATAATATGGAGGTTAGTGACCTCACCTATTCAGCTTATAATGACCATGCCCTGTGAAGTTTGCAAAATTCTTGTTTTCAGTTGAATTCCTTTTTTTTTTTAAATCCAGTACTTGTGAAATGAAGTCACCATCTTACAGTACATACTGAATATTTTTGATGTGTTAGATACTGTACTTGCAATTGTATTTAGATACTGTATGTAGTTATTTCTAAATAATTAACAATCAATACTGCTTAATTTGTAACTATAATACTAAAAGTGAAATTAAAGTTTATTTAACCAAAGGTCTTTAATTATACCATAATCATTAGCTATTGTTCAATTGTATTTTAATTGCTGTGTGTAGCTCCATGTACAATTATGTATAGTTATAATGTGAACTTGAGGTAATTTATTTTCACAGAAAGTGCTTATTTGCAGCTGGGAATAAGCCCACTGATGAAACAGCAAAGGGACAGATTTAAAGAAAAAGTTAAGGTAACACAGTGCAAAAAGCACCAGTATCTGCAACTGCATGGCATTTGGAAACAGACTCTCCAAAGACAAATTCAGAACTGATTTTTTAGTTTAAAATATTAAATAATCATGCTTCTTACACTGGTGTTCTTGTAAACTAAGAAAAATAATTCCGAAGCATTACAAAACGGGGGTGGTGTAGAGTAGTCGGTGAACTGTTCGCATCATAAATAACAGCTTGTCGGGTCATGTCCCCACTGCCGACACTGCTGTTCTGCCCTTGAGCAAGGTATTTTACCCCATTTGCTCCAGTACACCCAGCTGTATAAGTGGGGACCAGCATGGCTGGGAGGTATTCTCTGTGATAGACTGGCATCCCATCCAGGGGGCAGTCACATGCTCTCTAGTCTGCTTAATGTTACAGAATCCAGCATGAGCTGTGGTTCTGTTATGGATTTTACCTCTTTTACTATAAACAAGTGGTACCGACTGCATAAGGTGGTACAAACTGTAAAGACTACATGAATGTAGTACTTCTTTAAATAACTGTCAATTGCAAGTCAATTCCTTATCTTGTAAAAACAAGTTTTACAGCTGAAAGATGACATTACATTTGACTTTATTGTTTACAATAACAGCAGCATAAACGGCCAATAATGTTCTTTGATGAGACGTCTGTGGTAAACATTTTTTAATCAAACATAACATGTCTAATCCTTTAACAAATCAGAATTAAAATAAGGAAATGTGCTAATAATATGCTCAGAAATTAATTTGCATATTTGAACTACATAATTTTGTGGATATACATAAGATTCTCCACATGTAATTGAAGTTCTGAGATTTAAATGTAAGCATTTGTTCAAAACATGCTGCATTTTACTTATTAAATGCTAATACTGTGTATACTTTACGTGTATAATAGTTTATTCACAAAGATGCATTGTCTCCACATTTTGGCATTATTCAGTGCACAGAAATGTGCAGTGAGAGGGAAGATCAGAGTCAATGAGCAGTGAAAACTCCAGGGTCATACACAGTAGAAGAGATTTAAAAAATAATTAATTGCAGTATATCTGAGCTGCAAGTAATAAAGTTCATTCTTTAGACTGTTCTGCCAAGATCAGGACAAATTTGATGTTGATAATCTGTATTTTCAAAAGACATTTGATCATGTTATCCTAAATCTTTTGAATACTCAAATAAAACAAACATTCTGCTAGACGATTATTTTACTTCCCTGGAGCCTATTTAAAATATGTATGGCCTTTTTAAATATGATATACTATACATGTTATATAAATACTGTATATGCACAAATAAAATAGGCATATAACACTGGGTTTATTTTGAAGGAAACCAGCCATGTCTATGCAGTCTGTCTGTGCTATAGCTATGCTTTTCATACGGTTAGTTTGAAGTCATTCAGCTATGAAATATTCTTGATTCTGATTTTTATGTGGTAGAAAATGGTTATACCTTCCCACTCAGAAAAGGATCAGTACTAATTTGAGCTAATAAGTAGTATTAGATTTAAATTACCATGAGAAAAATACTGGACATCTTTATCTCTTCGAGTGAAGTCTTACATTCACTGTATGATCTATGTGTTCTGAGAAGAAGAGAAATTTGTCTTCAATTCTTCTTCTTCTTCTTCAATTCTTCATATTCAATAGTGAATATGGAAAAAATGGAAAACTCTTTTATTTAAAAGTTAAGTGGCCACAAGAAACCATTATTCCTCACTCACATAACTTCAATCTGTAAGCTTAAACTAAAGACAGCAGAAGGGACATAAATTGAGCAACAATGACAAAAAGCACAAACAACAAGTTTTGATGATCAAGGGTGGGAAGTCATTTTTTCCAGATTTGCAACATTAGGACACTGAGGCTCTTGCTACAGTACTTCACTACATTTGCTCCTTGTTATCGCTAAATCAGACAAGTACCTAGCACTCATTTGTTAACTAATGATTGGCAAGAAGAGGTTCTCCAAACCACTGTACCTGTAGCAATCAATCATGGCTCATCTTATGGAGTCGCCCCTTCCTATCCAGCCTAAGCCTGTTTTCTTGAATCTGTCAAGCTGGGGGAGTGGTTGAATACAGGCTCCCTGCTGCTGAGGGCTTGGTGCTCATCAGACAAGCTTGATTCAAAGTATTGCCTAGATACAAGAGGTGTCTTGCAACATGAACCCTGAATGTGGGTTCTGAATGTCGTTAATTCATGAAGAACAAAGCTGAAAGTCCAAAAGCAGTCCCCAATCAAACAATTCTGTTAGCTGCAGGTCCAGCCAGCTTATTTCGGAGTCTGACACAGATGAGAAAACATGTGAACAGGCACACACAATCACGCAGAACTGTGTGTCACACAGACTTTCACGCAGAGGGATGTCTGGCCTTGTGTAAGCAGTATGGAGGGTCTTGAATAAACAACAAGGTAGAAGGCAGACATAGGTGCTGAAATTTAGACTAATACATCCTGGCTGGACATATTCATTTGTACAAGTATGTGATACACATTAAGGAATTTGAATACAGCATTGTACCGAAATATTGTGAGACAATAGTATTTGGCATACTAAATAATGAGTCAATAGAAATACAATTCTGCTGTTATATGCTATTCCTTGGCATCAAGTCAGATAGATCGGAAATGTTTTATACTATTTTAGTATAATAAAGGAATGTGCAACAGCCAACTTCTAATTGAAAATAATTGCATAGTAATTTTAAACAAAAAGTACGGCATATCTGAAATTAGTTATCTGTTGATATGTTTTGCATAATTGAATGTATATTTTAGCTTCTTAATATTCCAGTTACATATCGTTGAGGGAGCAAAATTAACACCCTAGCTTTAACACATTGCAGTCCAGACTTGAATCAACCTTCACCCTCCAGTCATAGATACAGACAGAATCCCCTAAAACCAGGATTACTTAATAGTCTAAACCCTGCACCTCTGCATTATTTCATTAATCCGAGCCCACATGAAAAACTCATTCTGATCTGACAGCAGTATAGCTCTCATGTGTTTCGAGCTGTGGTGGTCTGTTCCTGATCAATAGTGTTTGTGACCAAACATTTCAAAACCACATTAAAATGCCACTCAACCAGCTCCATTCCATTGCCCTCTAAATAAATCAAGGTCTTGCCCTGTCAGGTCACACTGAGGGAGACTGCATTTGGAACCAGGGTTCATTCTATATCAGCCCCTGCGTTAGCTTTTAGCTTTTGATGATGCACCTAATAATACGATAAGTAAATAATACATATTTATGGTTCACTAGAAAGGTGACAGCTCTAGAGTTGTGAAAGAAAGGTTACAAAACCGTAATAATTTTACAGATGTGAAGTTTCTTGTAAGGAATATTTGTTATATGAATCTTTTATTTGATTTATTGCTAAGAATCCTCTGTGTTGCTAAATAAAACAAAATTTTGTGGATAGAAGTATGGTGATTTTGATACATAGAGAATATATTGACTTTGCAATAAAAAAAATTAACCCTCAGAAATTCAGAACAGCTAAAAAAATATACACCATAGGATATAGTCACACTCCCCAAAATCTTTTTCATAATACATTTAAATACGGTATTATGTAAAGTCAATTAAAACTGGCAATGTGTGTTTCAGAATAAACAACATTATTCACTGGGGCTTTGAAGTGGCGCATAGAATAAAGGTTCTTGTTCAGAGCGTAGGCTGAGTTCTACAGTCCAGACATTGACAGCCTGAGTCTGTGCTGTCATTAGAGGGCTTTCATTGCTACTTCTGGACGGGATAAATTCATATGGAGTCCCATGGAGTACAACGCAACATTACCCTTGGCCATGTGCCTACACACCTGAATTTTTTTGTCAGTGACAACTACTGTACATCAGTCCTCCGAATGCCACTAACTCAGCTGCATGTATTGTGGGAGTCAGAGGAAACAACAGGCAAATGGTTCTGTTGGCTGTGTTTTGGAGGAAACCAGACACAGTCCTTGCTCCTTAATGGGCTTATTGTCTTATAAAGTACTCTATCACATTTTGTTCTATAGGCCTCTCCCATATGACATCTACTGTATGGAAATCTTAAAATTCAAAGAGCAAAATATTAAAAAATTAACATATTTCAATATTTAGAGAAACCAAGTGTTATTAGTATTGCGTGACTGGTGCCCCATATAATCTAGAATATTGCAAATATTGCAAATAAGAAAATCACACAAGGTTTAATTTTAATACATAACCTAATTATGGTGCCGGACATCAACTATTCCTGCAGTCATGACTAAAGGAAATTATCCGAACTCACATTCCCATGTTCCATTTGGTGTCCTTGAGGATACATTTGCTTTTGCAGTGATAAGACAAAGCATTAAAAATTATTCTGAAAAAAAGTCATGGTCCTACATGATAAGCATTAAATTATATATAAATTACAGGAAATAATATTAATTCCAAACCTTTCTTACTCAAAATATATAATATTGGCAAAAATATAAATATAAAATGTTATCTAAATAAACAGAAAAG